TATCTTGACTGAGAAAAAGGAAGAAATTTATAACAACTAGCATTGGTAAGGAAGCTCTTTCCCATACTGCTATTGACTGTATAAAATGGTACAACTTTTTCAGAAATAAATTTGCAAAAGCAATAAAAATTGTGAACGTAAGTAATATTCTATTAAAAATTCATTTAGTTCACATACAATATAATATTAGTTTCAGATATACAACCCAGTGACTAGATATTTAAATAATTAAGAAGTAAACATTCTGATAACACATACAGTTATTTCAGTAATTATAGTAATATTACAGCAATATTGATTATATTCCTGATTCTGTACTTGATATTCCTGTAACTATTTTTTTTTAAGATATATTTTATTGATTTTTTACAGAGAGGAAGTGAGAGGAATAGAGAGTTAGAAACACCGATGAGAGAGAATCATCGATTAACTGCCACTTGCACACTCCTTACTGGGGATGTGCCCGCAACCAACGTACATGCCCTTGACCGGAATCAAACCTGGGACCTTTCAGTCCGCAGGCCAATGCTCTATCTACTGAGCCAAACCGGTTTCAGCCCTGTGACTATTTTTAAACTGGCAATTTGTAGGTCTTATTTACCCATTAGAAATAGACAAGTTAAGAAACATATATGTAGCAAGGCTATCTACTGCAGCATTGCACTTAGTAGTGAAAAATAAGAAACAATCTATATACCAATATGGAAATAACAAATATACTTAACAACAATGACAGCAGCTAATAGTTGCTGCAAGTGCTTGCTATGTGCTAGGCACCATTTTTCATCTGGTTTTAAAGCCACTATGCTATACTTTTAAAATATATATATTTTATTGATTTTTTTACAGAGAAGGAGGGAGAGGTAGAGAGAGTTAGAAGCATCGATGAAAGAGAAACATCAATCAGCTGCCTCATACACACCCCCTACTGGGGATATGCCTGCAACCAAGGTACATGCCCTTGACCAGAATCGAAGGTACATGCCCTTGGCCTTGAGTCTGCAGGCCAACACTCTCTCCACTGAACCAAACCGGTTAGGGCATATACTTTTTAGAAGGAGGTGTATTCACCCCCATATGGAAGAATGTACATTACATATAATTTTTTAAATGAAAAAACTCAAGCTTAGAAGAACTATATAGTATTACATATATTTTTTAAATATATGATTGCATATTTATAGAAAACACTAAAAAGCTAATTATCAAACTATAAAAAATGATTACCTCTGATGACCAGAATGAGTTTGAGGAGAAAGAAGATAACATTTTACTTTATATACTTTTTATACTGCTTAAATTTTTTCACATTAAGCACATATCAGATTCACATATAAAGAACACAAAATTTTAAAAAGAAAATTAATTGGAATCTTTAACAATTAATTAAAGAAAAGTTTTTTTAAAAAACAGAAATGGGTAACTCCTGCATGCTGAAGCTAATTGCACAGTTAATGAAAGCACAAGGAAATAATTCATTTTAGGCAAAACACACACATAAACACAGACACACACAAAATAAAGTACATCCAAAGTGATTAAAACTCTAAGAAATTCTGGGTAAGTTAAGTTATAACCAATAATGTTCTGATAAAGATGGCAAATTGAACATGCACATCTAATTTCCATCCCACTCCCTCCCTTCCGTTAAATGTCGCTAAAACCATAGAATAAAGAATTTTTAAATGTAAAACTCCAGCAATGAGAAAAATAGAGAAGGAAACAATAGTAATAAATTTTTGGAAGTTAGAAGCAGGTGGACAAATGGTAGAAAGTGTAAGAACAAGGCAGTGTTGGGTAAAGCTGAGAACCAACTCAGTTTCAAATGGCTCAGGAATTCTACATAGCAGCCTGATCACTTATTTTGTGCTCCTTATCCATAAAAGATTTTGTCATGTCATAAAGTAATAACACTGTTCTATACAGAATTTAATGTAAAGCAGTGAAAAGTAAGGGCCTGATTTCAGTGGACCAAGAAACATTTATTTTGAGGGATCTTCAATATGAGCTACTATATAAACACTTAAGTATTAATTTGTGGTGAGAATAAAAACCTTTTTTAGTCAAAAATTACCTTATTACAAACAAATTACTCAGCTATATGCTGTAAGTAAACATTGTGGTAAAAGGATTTTTATTTAAAATGATAGCATGTGTTGAGAATATTAGGTTACTATTATCTATTTGTTTTCTTCTTTACACAGAGCAACAATGCTCTTCCTACTACTGTACCTTTCTCATACAGGGGCAACATTTAAAAAAGCAACAATTAGTAAATATTCAAAGGTGGGCACGTCCTCTAAAGAGAAATCAGGATGGGTTTGGGCTCTTCTAAAAAGTAGCATGGCACTTGCCCATAATGCTATGCTTTAATAACCATGCCGTTTGTAGTCAAAATGAACATGTAACAATTTTCAACAGTGTTTTCTCATTGCTTCTAGTTAGCGAAAACAGTAACAATTCCTTCCCCAATTAATATAAGACAGTATACACATTTAAACCTAAATATATTTAGAGCCCATATAACAAAATTACCTGATTCATCAATAAAATAAAACTAATATATGGGTGAAGTCTAGCAAATACATAACATGCTAAGAGGACATCCCCAGCAATTAAAAAAAAAAGTAATGATACTTTCTTCTAACAAATATTTTTGGTTATGAGATATTATATTTTATATCACTTATAAAGACTAAGTAAATATTTGAGAACAAAGAAATCCTTCTAGAATTGGTCAAAAGTCTAAGTGTTTTGTGAGGATTTTTTTCTACTTTATTCCAGATTGTCACAGAAACTGATAACTCAGCATACAAAACAATGAAGATTTTCAGAGAGAAGTCAAATAAATGTTAATTGATTTTATTTAGTTAATTTGGAGACATAATTATTCAATGTAACTTTTGTAAATCATAGCCTTAAAACTTATTAAAATGAAGAAATATAATGCCCTCGACGGAGTTATTTAATTACAAGGCCACCATTAATATCTAGTTAGAACATAACTGCTCCTTACCCAGTACTGAAGGCTGCCTTTGAATTTAGAATGATTTATTCAAATCTTTTTTTTTTTAATCCTCACCCAAGGATATTTTTTCACTGATTTTTAGAGAGTGGAAGGGAGGGAGAATGAGGGAAAAGGGGGAGGGGGAAAAAGAGAGAGAGAGAGAGAGAAACAAACCAATTGATTGCCTCTCCCAAATATTATATTTTAGTATTTTAGTATAAAATTGGCTTAAATAATTTAATATTAATTGTAATATTTAGTATTATACTTTAGTATTTTAGTATTTTGATCCCCTACTGAGGCTGGGATCAAACCAGCAAACAGGTACATGCCCTTGACTGGGAATTGAACCCATGACTTGTTGGTGTTTGGGCCAACACACTAACCACTGAGAACACTGGCCAGGGCAATGCAAACCTTTTTAAAAGTTTATTTAAAAACTAAAAGCAACTACTAACAAAGTCAGATGTGTATATACATCATTTATGGTTTCATGCTATATTAATCAGAACCCCTACTACAAGGCAAAAGGAGATCCAGTTGGATTACACACAGGATTATAAATAGAAGCAGTCAGGTGGCATCTAAGAAATTAATAAAGAGGACCAGAGAGAATAAAGCCAGAAGCAGAGCTAAGTATGGACCAGAAAGTCAAAATAATTTGATTATCCTCGACATCTTAAGAAGCAGATTGCCCAGAATTTTGACTCAGGATTGCTGAGAAAACAGATGTCAATAAGAAAACCCAAGGTAAGAATTCTCTAGAAAGTGATAAAACCAATCAAACACTCTGGATAAGAGTGTATACGTACATCTGAAGAACTAGAGGGCCCCAAAAAATTGACTAGAGCCCAACTTTTACTTTAGTTCATTCTACAAACATTTACTGCTTATTTTCCCAGACATTGTGATGAAAGAGCTTACCAACATGAATAAGAGATAGTCTTTGTCCTTGAGAACTTATAGCCTAAAGAGAAAGTCAAGCACCTAGGGAGACAGTGCTAACATATGTAGTCAGTGTAGATACTTAACTTCTCTGAGCTTTAGCAAGTATAAAAGGGGTTACAAAGCTTCAAAGGGTTCTTGCAAAGATCAGGCAAGTAATCAAGCAACAGTAGCTAGTTCTATTATTCATAAATCAAAAAAAGTATAAATACTGAGTACACTGAATTTAAAATTGAAGTAAAAAACTTTAAGGATAGATTACCCTTTTTCCTTGCTAATAATGTTCAGACATAGTAGGTAATCATATATATGCACAGTTTATAATATAACACCTAACTCATAAAAAATATAGTCAATTCTTGATAATCCAAGAGCATACTAACTGGTTTGCAATTAATCTGTGATTAAAGTGCCATGAGAAACCCACCTCACTCTCCCTTACTACCGAGAAGCTGGTTAAGAAATTCTAATACCCGTCCCCTTCCCCCGACTGCCCAGCAGCCCCCTAATCCCCAGCACAGCGCTTCCACGTGCTCAGACCCCAGGCTTCCCCACGTGTTCTGGTTCCTGTCTTGGCTCTTCAGATCGCACTACTAGAAAAAGTTGGAAGAGGATCAAAAATTTCAGTACTTGCTACATTCCCTAAACAAGTCTTTCTGGAGTATTTGTGACTGGATCTTCACTCCTCCCAACACTATCAGTTAACCCAGTTAATTAATAATTAATAATTGACTATATTGAGAAAATATAACTTTAAAATCAGTAACAACTTGAAACCATTTTAGTTCATTTTTTTAGTTGCTTTGCCAAGGAAAATAAATTCTTATCATTCTATAATCAATTTAAGTTATTTCAAGTTTGAATTGGCTTAAATAATTTAATATTCATTGTAATAGTTAGTATTATACTTTAGTATTTTTAGTAAAGTTAGTGATGTCACAATTAAATAATACATCCCGTATAAACAGTTCTCAAGGCCCAAATTAACACTGTATCAATACTGCTATATAGCTGTTAATATACATTATAAAAATGCCAGAAAAAGTACCTTGGTGTTCTTCTAAATCCATGTCAAGTTGTCTAATTTCTTCATGAAATTGATTGATTTTTTCTTTTATATCTGTTAACCTATTAAAATATTATTTAATGAATTTATAACAGATAGTATAGGTATTCAGTGAAAACATCTAATGATGATGTTAGAAAATCATGTCTTTTCTTTTTTTTTTTTTTTTTTTTTTTTTTTTTTTATTTTACATATTTTATTGATTTTTTTTTTGCCCCCCTCCTTCCCTCCCATGTATCCCCTCCCTCCCCAGAGTTTTATGTCCATTGGTTGTACTTATATGCAGGTATACAAGTCCTTGGGTTGATTTATTGTCTCCCCCAGACCCTCCTCCCCTCCCCGTTGTAATTTGACAATCTGCTTGTTGCTTTACTGTCTCTATATCTATCTTTTGGTTCATCAGTTTATAATGATCTTTATTATCCACAAATGAGTGGGGTCATGTGGTGTTTCTCTTTCATTGATTGGCTTATTTCACTCAGCATGATGTTCTCCAATTCCATCCAGGTTGCTGCAAATGATGAGAATTCCTTCTTTTTTATGGCAGCATAGTATTCCATTGTGTAGATGTACCAAAGTTTTTGGATCCAATCATCAGCTGACGGGCACCTCGGCTGTTTCCAGATTCTGGCTATTGTAGATTGTGCTGCTATGAACATAGGGGTGTATATATCCTTTCTGATTGGTGTTTCTAGTTTCTTGGGATATATTCCAAGAAGTGGGATTACTGGGTCAAATGGGAGTTCCATTCTCAGTTTTTTGAGGAAACTCCACACTGTTCTCCACAGTGGTTGCACCAGTCTGCATTCCCACCAGCAGTGCACGAGGGTTCCTTTTTCTCCGCAACCTCGCCAACACTTGTCGTTTGTTGATTTGTTGATGTTGGCCATTCTGACAGGTGTGAGATGGTACCGCATTGTTGTTTTGATTTGCATCTCTCGGATAATTAGTGACTTTGAGCATGTTTTCATGTGCCTTTTGGCCTTCTTTCTGTCTTCTTTTGTAAATATTCTATTTAGGTCCATTGCCCATTTTTTAATTGGATCATTCATCTTCCTTTTATTTAGTTGTATCAGCTGTCTGTAGATGTTGGAGATTAAACCTTTATCCGTGGTATTATTTGCAAATATATTCTCCCATACCGTGGGCTTTCTTGTTGTTTTGTTGATGGTTTCTTTTGCTGTAAAAAAACTTTTTATTTTGATGTAGTCCCATTTGTTTATTTTCTCTTTAGCTTCCATTGCCCTAGGGGCAGTATCAGTGAAGAAGTTCTTTTGGCATACGTCTGAGATTTTGCTGCCTGCGGATGCTTCTAGTATTTTTATGGTTTCCCGTCTGATGTTTAAGTCCTGTATCCATTTTGAGTTTATTTTTGTGTATGGTGTAAGTTGGTGATCTAGTTTCATTCTTTTGCATGTGTCTACCCAATTTTCCCAACACCATTTATTGAAGAAACTGTCTTGACTCCATTGTATATTCGTGCCTCCTTTGTCAAATATTAATTGAGCATAGTGATTTGGGTTGATATCTGGGTTCTCGATTCTATTCCATTGATCTATATGTCTGTTCTTGTGCCAGTACCAGGCTGTTTTGAGAACAGTGGCTTTGTAATACAGTTTGAAGTCTGGTATTGAGATCCCTCCTACTTTACCCTTCTTTCTCAGGATTGCTGTGGCTATTCGGGGTCTTTTATTGTTCCAAATGAACTTTTGGAGAGTTCTTTCTAGGTCGGTGAAATATGCCGTTGGTATTTTAATGGGGAGTGCATTGAACCTATAGATTGCTTTAGGAAGTATGGACATTTTGATGATGTTGATTCTACCGATCCATGAACATGGTATATTCTTCCATCTCTTTACATCTTCCTCTATCTCTTTTTTCAGTGTCATGTAGTTTTCTGCATATAGGTCCTTTACTTCCTTAGTTAAATTTATTCCTAGGTACCTTAATTTTTTTGGTGCGATGGTAAATGGAATTGCTTTTTTAATCTCTATTTCTATAGTTTCGCTGTTGGTGTATAGAAATGCCGTGGATTTCTTGGCATTAATTTTGTATCCTGCTACATTGCCAAATTCATTTATTAAGTCAATTAGTTTTTTAATGGAGTCTTTTGGGTTTTTTATGTACAGTATCATGTCATCTGCAAATAAGGATAACTTTACTTCTTCTTTTCCAATTTGGATGCCTTTTATTTCCTCCTCTTGTCTAATTGCAATGGCTAGTACTTCCAGTACTATGTCAAACAGGAGTGGCGAGAGTGGGCATCCCTGTCTTGTTCCTGTTCTTAGAGGGAATGGTTTTAGTTTTTGCCCATTGAGTATAATGTTGGCTGTGGGTTTATCATATATAGCTTTTATTATGTTGAGGTATGATCCTTGTACTCCCACCTTGTTAAGAGTTTTTATCAGGAAAGGGTGTTGGATTTTATCAAATGCTTTTTCTGCATCAATTGATATGACTATATGATTTTTATCTTTCAGTTTGTTTATGTGATGTATCACGTTTATTGATTTGCGGATATTGTACCATCCTTGCATTCCTGGAATAAATCCTACTTGGTCATGGTGTATGATCTTTGTGATGTTCATCTGGAGTCTATTTGCTAGAATTTTGTTGAGGATTTTGGCATCTATGTTCATGAGGGATATTGGCCTGTAATTCTCTTTCATTGAGTTGTCTTTATCTGGTTTTGGTATTAGGGTGATGCTGGCTTCATAGAAGGAGTTTGGAAGTGTTCCTTCCTCTTGGATTTTTTGGAATAGTCTGAGGAGGAAAGGTTTTAGTTCTTCCTTGAATGTTTGGTAAAACTCTCCTGTGAAGCCATCAGGCCCTGGGCTTTTGTTTGCTGGAAGCTTTTTGATGACTGTTTCAATTTCTTCCCACGTCACTGGTCTATTAAGATTTTTAGATTCTTCCTGATTGAGTTTTGGAAGGTTGTATTTTTCTAGGAATATGTCCATTTCGTCCAGGTTGTTCAGTTTGTTGGAATAGAGTTGTTCGTAGTATTTTGTAACAATCTGTTGTATTTCGGTGGGGTCTGTTGTTATTTCACCTCTTTCATTTCTGAGAAAATCATGTCTTTTCTAAGCTGCATTAACAATATCTAGAAATATATGCCCTACTCTCAGGATAATCCTACAAATTTAGAAATTTCTTTTCTAGATCTTTTTTCATGATTCACATTTGAACTGAAAGTATATTCTACAGATGTTAGGTTGTCTGACTCCAAAAGCTGATGCTTGCCCACATTTTTTTTTTTTTAAGCATGACTTAAAACATTAAGGAAGTGAAAAATATTCTTTTTTTTTTTTTTGGTAGGTTTATATAAACTGAACTAATTGGCAAATTAATCTCAAACATTAAAAAACAAGAGAAAATTTGCATTGATCGAAGATTATATGGGTTAAAATTTTAGCAAAAGCAGTTGTACTAGTACTTCATATACAGTAATCATAACTGTGGTTCTGGAATATTTGTGACTTGATCTTCACTCACCCTAAGTCTATCAGCGGGATGGAACTGTGAGTCCAGATCTTGCATCTATATATAATTGATTTTTGACAAAGGTGCAAGACAATTAAGTGGGAAAAGAATATTAAATATCTAGCTTACTCTTCTCTGGTTCCCAGTGCATCACCCAAGAACAGCAGTTGCCAAGTCAATACAGCTCAGCAACTTCTGCACTGAGTGTCTGCCCGTTGGTGGTCAGGGTGCGTCATAACTACTGGTCAGCCAGTCACTTAGTATTTTACATATATAAACTAGAGACCTGGTGCATGAAAGTCGTGCGGGGGTATGCGTGCATGTCCCTCAGCCCAGCCTGCAACATCTCCAATCTGGGACCCCTGTAAATCAGGCATCCCTTTTACAATCCAGGACTGCTGGATCCCAACCACTCACCTGCCTGCCTGCCTGCATGATTGCCCCTAATCATTTATGCCTGCCAGCCTGATCACCCCCTAACTACTCCCCTGCCAGCCTGATCAATGCCTAACTGCTCCCCTGCTGGCCCAATTGTCCCTAACTATCCTCCCCTGAAGGCCTGGTCACTCCTAATCGCCCTCCCATGCTGGCCTGGTTGCCCTTAACTGTCCTCCCCTGCAGGCCTGGACCCTCCCAACTGCCATGGAGAAATTGGAACCCTCATGCACTGCTGGTAAAGTATAAAATGGACTCCAAAAAAATTAAATATAGATATATTATATGAGCCATTAATCCCACTCCTAGGTGTATACCCAAGAGAAGTGAAAACATATGTCCATGCAAAAAGTGATACATGAATTTCATATCAGCATGATCACAGCCAAAAAATGAAAACAATTTAAACGTCCATTAATGAATGAACAGAAATAAATATGGTATATCCACATAAGGAATATTTGGCAATAAAAAGAAATATCGATACATGTTATAACACAGAGGAACCTTGAAAACATTATGCTAAGTGAAAGAATGCACCCACATTGGACCACATTTTATATGATTCCATTTATTATATAAAATATCCAGAATAGGTCACTCTACAAACATAAAATAAAAGTGATTCTCTAGGGCTAGGGTGAGGGGATGATTGGGTGTGGAAAACAAAAAGGGTATAATTAAGGTTACTAAAGAGATATAAAATAGACTGAAGTGCTGAAACCGGTTTGGCTCAGTGGATAGAGTGTTGGCCTGCGGACTGAAGGTCCCAGGTTCAATTCAGGTCAAGGGCATGTACCTTGATTGCGGGCACATCCCGAGGAGGTGATGTGCAAGAGGCAGCTGATTTATGATTCTCTCTCATCGATGTTTCTAACTCTCTATCCCTCTCTCTTCCTCTCTGTAAAAAATCAATAAAATATATTAAAAAATAAAAAAATAGACTAAGTGATGCTTGCATAACTCTATGAATATACTATAAAACTCTGTACTGTATGCTTTAAATATGTGAATTGTACGAAATGTAGTTAAAGTTACGTCAATATTATCAGTGTGAACCACACCAAAATTACTGTGATAATATGCACTTCTTGTACAGTTAGAATATAATTTAAAAGATGAGAAAGAGATGCAAAATGTCCTAGTACAAAGGTACTTACTGTCGCTCCATACTAGCTATTTCCTGGTTATCTTCCTTAACCTATAAAGGCATAAAAAGAAAATGGTGTTCAAAGAATTATTAATTGTTAGGCTATCTTAAAAATAATTCTAAGGTATGTTGCACTAAAATGTCAAATTTTGTCTCTGGAAACTTACTTAAAATTCAATCTTTGAAGTTAAAAGGAACATCAATAAGGAACTATTTACAAATTTTTATTTCTTCCTGATAGAAAGGGTGGTGACATACTTTCATACTAATCCATATGGTACAATGAGGTTAACTGGATCAGTTTACATAAATATCTAAGATATAAAACCCCCATATATAAGGTGGAGCTGACAGATTTATCCCACTGCATTTGAATTTCAGATAAGTAAATTTTATGATACATATACATCATGCAATATAAAATGAACTTTACATATATATACTAAAATATTATTCTTTGCCTGAAATACAAATTTATTATATTTGTTCTGTAACCTGTCCCAAGACTATTCTTCCCTTGACTCCATTGATCTTTTTCCAAGGACCTTCAGAGAATCTAGATTTTAATACTTTTCTAGAATGATCCTAATACTTAAATAGCTCCTGAGTTGATCCCTAAGGTTCCTCCAAACCTACTGGGTTCAATCTAAGAATCATCAATTGCCTGCCTTCTGTATGCCTCCTACTTGGGGTCAAGCCTGCAACCCCAGCACGTGCCCTGACAAGAAATCGAACCATGACCTTCTGGTTCATAGGTCTGTGTTCAACCACTGAGACACAGCAACCTGGCTCTTTATTCACTTTTTAATCCTCACCTGAAGACATGAGGCAGGGGAGGAGGGGGAAGGGTGAGAGAGTGAGAGAAACAGACAAAGAGAGACACATCAATGTGAGAAACAAGGATTGACTGCCTTTTGTATGTGCCCTACCTGGGGATCAAACCCACAACTTTTCAGTGCACAGTACAGCACTCAACCGACTGAGTCACTCTGACCAGGCAGATTTCAGAGGAGATTTTAATTTCATTAATAAAAGTCATTAGCTGTGGGACACTTGATTTCTAAATATAAAGCCGAAAATAAATTAGAGATCTTCAGTAAGGTTATCTAATTATTTATTCACTAACAAAGAAAAGTTTTTTTTCCTCATAAAATCCAAAACATGAAAAAGAAAGGCCATAACATGCATGAACACCACATAAAATTAAGATTTATGTAAAAAAAAAAAAAAAAAAAAACCCAAAAAAACAAAACTTCATGTCAGAGATGATTTTTACTAGATTTTAATAGTCAAGTAGTTAATACTGATGTAGGTGAAGCTCACTTCATTGTTTTTTAAAGACCTCATAAACTTACTGGCTTTCTGGTCAATTCATATGGCTTAAATAAAATAAACACATTCACAAATCCTGACATATTAAAATAAGTATGTTTGTTTTTCCTACCTGCTTAAGTAATCTCTCTCTCTCTTCCATTGGGGATCCCATGCTTTTGTCTTCAGCAACCATTTGATCTCGATGGGACTCTAACTCATAAAGTTTTTCATGCAGCAATACAGCCTCCTGTTTTACCTGGGAGTGTGCTATTTCCTGAAGGGAGCAAAAAAAGGAAAAATGTATTTATTCATCCAAAATATTTCAAATAGGTTTCAGTTTATAAAAATAAGGGCACATTTAAACCACCAGCATCAAGTACCTAGATTAATCATTAATGCTATAAAACACATTTCTAAACTGGAAGAATAAAAATAGATCCCTGCATATTTTCTTCCTTTTTTTAACTTTTTTAAAATTTAAATTTATTGTTTAAAGTATTACATACATTTCCTTTTTTCCCCACTGTCCTCTGCCCAGCAGATCACACCCCAGCATAAGCCCTCACCCACTACTGGCTGTGTCCATTGGTTATCCCTATATGCAAGCATACAAGTCCTTGGGTTGATCTTTTACCACCCCCCTCTCTTGCATTCCGTCTTAGGTTGGATGGTCTGTTTGATGTTTCTATGAATCTGTATCTATTTTTGTTCATCAGTTTATGTTGTTCATTATATTCCACAAGTGAGTGAGATCATGTGATATTTTTCTTTCTCTGACTGGCTTATTTCGCTTAGCATAATGCTCTCTAGGTTCATCCATGCTGTTGCAAATGGTACGAGTTCCTTCTTTTACAGCAGTGCAGTATTCCATTGTGTAGATGTACCACAGCTTTTTAATCTGGGCTGTTTCCAAATCTTAGCTATTGTGCTGCTATAAACATAGGGATGCATATATCCTTTCTGATTGGTGCTTCTGATTTCTTGGGCTATATTCCTAGAAGTGGGATTACTGGGTCAAATACATTTTTAATTTTCTGAGGAAACTCCATACTGTTCTCCATAGTGGCTGCATTCCCACCGCCGTGCACAAGGGTTCCTTTTTCTCCACATCCTCGCCAGCACTTGTAGTTTGTTGATTTGTTGATGACAGCCATTCTGACAGGTGTGAGCAGTTACCTCACTTGTCATTTTGCTTTGCATCTGTCGGATGATTGGTGACTTTGAGCATGTTTTCATATGTCTCTTGGCCTTCTGTAGGCCCTCTTTAGGAAAGTGTCTATATAGGTCCTGTGCCCATTTTTTGAGTTCCCTGTAAATGTTGGAGATTAAACCCTTATTAGAGATAAATTGGTAAATATGTCCTCCCAGGCAGTGGGCTTTCTTATTATTTTGTTGTTTTTGTTGTTGTTGTTGTTTTCTGTGCAGAAGAATTTTATTTCAATGTAGTCCCATTTGTTTATTTTCTCCTTAGTTTCCATTGTCTTAGGAGCTGTATCAGTGAAGATATTGCTATGACATATGTCTGATATTTTGCTGTCTGTGGATTCCTCTAATATTTTTATGGTTTCCCATCTTAGGTTAAAGTCCTTTAAATATTTTTGAGTTTATTTTTATGTATGGTGTAAGTTGGTGATCTAGTTTCATTTTTTTTCCATGAATCTGTCCAATTTTCCATACATCATTTATTGAATAAATTGTCTTGACTCCATTGTATGCTAAAACCATTTCCTAAGAACATGAACAAGACGGAATGCCGACTCTCACCACTCCTGTTTGACATAGTGCTGAAAGTGCTAGCTATAGCAATCAGACAGGAAGAAGAAATAAAAGGCATATAAATTGGAAAAGAAGAAGTAAAACTGTCATTATTCGCAGATGACATAATATTGTATGTAGAAAACCCTAAACACTCCATCAAAAAATTATTAGACTTAATAAACAAATTTGGCAATGTAGCAGGATACAAAATTAATGCCAAGAAATCTATGGCATTTTTTAAAATTTAATAATTCTTTATTGTTCAGTTTATTACAATTGTTCCTCTTTTTTTCCCTCCATAGCTCTCCTCCACCAGGTTCCTACCCCACCCTCTGCCCTTACCTCCCCCTCCACACCCCCCCGCCACTGTCCTCATTCATAGGTGTACGATTTTTGTTGTCTCTTCCCGCACCCCCACTCTCTTTTCCCCCTAGAACTGTCAGTCCACTCCCTTTCTATGTCCAGTGTTTGGTCGAGCCTTCGGTTGGTTGTTACAGACTCTGGGTTTTTATATATTAGGATATATTTATCTTTTGTAGATGAGTAATATAAGAAATCTTATTTAATTTTATACTTACAGCTTCCAGACTGTCTTTTTTCATGTTCAGTGAATCTAGTTGCTGCTGAAGTGTGTCTAATTCCTAAATAGAAGGGAAAAAAAATAAAAACAAATACATATGTCAGTTACATTAAGAATAAACATGGCCCTTGCTGGCATGGCTCAATTGGTTGGAGTGTCATCTTATACACCAGGTCATAGGTTCAATTACGACCTGTATTCAGCTAAGAGCACAAATACAGGTTGCAGCTCCATCCCTAGTCAGAAAGAGTACAGGAGACAACCATGGATATTTCTCTCATATCAATGTCTATCTGTCTATCTAGCTCTTGCTCTCTCTCCCTCTCCCTTTCTCTCTCTAAAAATCAATAAAATGAGAAAAAATAACACACCAGAATAAATTTTTGTTTCTCAACATTTCAAATATATATATGACAAAGTAAATTTTGTAAATACTTCAAAACTTATCTTGTGATATTTACTAGTATTCACTGCTAGTCTTTCCAATTTTTTTCATTATTTCTAAAAACTTTGCCATGATCCACCTTTAAAAACACTTTATTTTTTATGTCTGAGTGGCTCAGTTGGTTGGAGCATCATCCCAAACACCAAAAGGTTGCAGGTTTGATTTTGGTTGTAAGGCGCACTTCTAGGTTGTGGGTTCGATCCAAAATCCAGGCATATGGGAAGCAACCAATTTATGTTTCTCTTTCACATCTATGTTTCTCTCTCTCTCTAAAAAAAAAATCAATGGAAACATATCCTTGGATGAAGATTAAAAACAAACAAACAAACAAACAAAAACACACATACCCTCTATAAACTTGTTGGAGGCAGCCTGTCTTTTTCACACTAAATCATCACATCACTGTAACCATCCAATAAGTTTCAGAAGCCTTCAAACTCATTATGTCATTGTTTAAAGTTATGATTTTTAAACTATATTTTCATATTTTTGCCTAATTCTAATTCCTTTTTAAATTTAATTGATTTATTTTTAAAATTTTTATTTTATTGAAATAAGAAGACTTAATATGTCCCTAATTTCTTTTAGGGCCCAGACCTCTAGCAATTTACGTAACTCAACATCTTTAAGGAATAAAACTCTTAAGCTGATTAGTACTCAATTGAGAACCCCTATGTAAGATTAACTATATTTTGATATTTTTCATTGTATCTTATAAATCCTGTCTAAAATAAAAGTTATATTGAACTGTTAATGAAGGTATTAATGAACAAAATAAAATGAAGAATAAAATGGAACCAGAATCATGGGTACATGGAATAGACTGGCAGGTTCCAGAAGGGAGAGGGCAGAGATGATCAGATAAAGAAGGAAAAGCGAGCCAGGTCTGTGTGGCTCAGTAGTTAAGCATCAACCTATGAACCAGGAGGTCATAGTTCGATTCCTGGTTGTGGCATATGTTGGGTTGCGGGCTCAATCCCCAGCGTGGGGCATGCAGGAGGCAGCCAATCAATGATTCCCTCTCATCATTGATGTTTCTATTTCTCACTCCTCCCTTCCTCTCTGAATTCAATAAAAATGTATTAAAAAAAAAAAAAGAAGGTAAAGGGTTTAGCTAAAGAATACGTATGCATACCCCATGGACACAAATAATGTGGTGAAGGCCAAGGGAAGGGGAGGTGGAGTGGGTAGAGGTAGGTAAGGGGAGATATGGGGGACATCTGCAATAGTATCAACATTAAATATTTGTAAAAAAAAAAAAAAAAAAAAAAAAAAAAAGATTTGAGGTTTATTAGGCAGGAAGGAAAAAATGTAAATATTCATTTCATATGGCTCCGGTATATAATATTAGGCCTTTTAATGTTGCTATTAAAAGTTGATTACAATAAGTGTTTTCATATGTCTTTATGACATTCAAAAAGGAAGGATGCATAGACTGAACAAATAATATAGTAAAAGCTAGGTCATCATGCAGCATAAGAAAATAAAGTTTTCTAAAGCAGTGCTTCTCAAATTTAAATATCCTATGAATCATCCGGAGACCTTGTTAAGACTGTGCAGTAAGTCTAGTCAAGCTCTCAGGGGATGCTGGTGCTGCCCCTAGTGGCAAGATTGCTATATGCCTGTCCCAAAGGAGCAATCAGTATTACCTGTAATAATTTCTCATTTGTGGTTTTCATGTCTATGTACTTGACTTGTTTTTCAGGAGACATATTTTTTATAATGCCATCTGCTGCTTGTTTTTCCTGTTCAATTTCTTCTTCTACACTTCTAATTTGTTTCTCCTTCCTGAAACCAAAAGTATGCAATATTCCTTACTATACTGAGGGGGAAAAAACATTACTTTTAGTCAGGTCCTGGTCTCATTTAAATAGGGTACTTACATTTATTCAATCATAGTTTATGATCTAAAAGTTCTTTCAAACGTACAAAATAATTCTATTTGACCTGTACAAAACTTGGCCCCCATCAGCACAGACTTACTTTGTCTTTTTCTTCTCAACCCCCAAATGCTTCTATTTTCTTACTCTCCATTTTACTTACATTCTTATAAGAAAACACAAAAATCATCGCAGAAAATTTTAAGACTTCAACATGAGGACGTATTTATAATTTTTGCTATCATACCTTTAAGACAAATAAGATAGTTACATTTTAGAAGAGTTGTTTTCAAACAACTCATAGCTACAGAATTCTTTGAACAAATGAAATACGGTATGGAAGTTTAACATGTAAATCATATGAAGTAATACAACTCTGACTGAACTGGGAGTAGAGAGACCTATAGTGCAACTTGATTTTTAAAAGTCATAGTTTTAGATTAACATGTTTTGCTTAAACTCCCTTTTATCCACTGTTTTAATTATCGATAAAATTGGTATTCCACAGATTATCAGCAATATTATAGCACTTCAAAGTAATAATTTCCCAAAAAATAAAACAGAAACATTAAAGTACAGCCATCTATAAGTAGTAGTGAAATTAATTTCAAATATTTATCATATAATCACAAGAAATACCAGTGATGTGCTAGTTATTACCTTATGTAAGGTCAATTATCATTAGGATAGAGAAACATTTTGAAAAAAAAAAAAGGTAAGATGCTAGTAATCATGTAAATATTTCAAGATTTACATATAAAATCTTTCTTAAAGATAAATTTTAATTCCAATGCCATAAATTTATATTTTAAGTTTCAAAATGATTATTCTACTATTTAATCCCTTTCACAAGTAGATAACCAACTTCTACAGTTTTCACAGTCACTAGCTAAGTCTTATATATCCACATATCGGTGACCTTCACACTCTTTACACACTCATACTCCATTAGCATAAGATAATCAAAACTCAGAAACCTTTCTGTACAGACATCATAATAACCAAATAAATGATGAACATAATGAAACTGACTACCTGGAATTTTTATTTATTTTTGTCTCACTCTAGTGTCTTTCTTTACTTTGAACCTCAATTGCTACAGTGCTTGATGTTACAGGTATGTTTACTGTTGCTACAATTTATATGGGTATATGGGATCATAGAACTTCCAAACAGAAAAGATCATCTATTTCAATCTTTTTGTTTCATAGATTAAGGAGATAATGAGGCCTAGAAGAATTAATCGTCTGAAACAAACTCATTCTGAACTTCATGATTACTTGCCTCTTAACCATGTTTCTTTCTGACATGTCTCAATGTAGTTAGATGAGAACTAGTGTTGTACAGTATTCCATTTTACAGAGAAGTTAACAGCAAAAGGCAGATAACTGATTTTCTCAAGGCCACATAATGGTCAAGTGTTAAATCTTTTTCTTTTTAAAAAAATATATTTTATTGATTTTTTACAGAGAGGAAGGTAGAGGGATAGAGAGTTAGAAACATCAATGAGAGAAAGACATCAATCAGCTACCCCCTGCACTGGGGATGTGTCACAACCAAGGTACATGCCCTGACCGGAATCAAACCCAGGACCTTTCAGTCCGCAGGCCGACACTCTATCCACTGAGCCAAATCGGTCTTGGCAAGTGTCAAATATTTTGATATTAGCACTTGGCTCCAGTTATAACGTGGCAGTAAATCACCAATGATGGTGCCATAAAAAACTCAGTGGAGTACTAAATTTGGTATTTTTTCAACTTGTATCTTTCTAAACATAAAATAACTTCAGGAATAATACTTAAATCACTGCAGAATTCTCAAATTTATATACTTGAACTCGTAAAGTTGTTAATATTTAACTTTATTAAGGGTAATTAAACATAAAGATTATGAAAACGACCTTACTCATTATACTAAAGAAGTCAAAGATGACTTTAAGAAATTATTCTTCTAGTCAATCTTTTGCTAAGGAAGTCCAGTGTGTGGTTTTTTTTTTTGGTTTTTTTTTAAATCACCTGCTCACTGGGTACAAAGGTAAAAACAAAGTGAAGTGCAATCATATGACATAGCTTTCTTTTTAATGGTGAAGAAACAGAATAGATTCCTTAGCACACCAATCTCAGAGAAAAAAAAAAACAGTAAAGGTAAGATCTTATATATTTACAGGTTTGGTGGTTGTTGCTGAATTTTTTTTAAAAGTCATATTTGTTTGTTAAATCTGTACAAAAAATTATGCCTTTATTAAATTATGTAAGAGCAGAGAATATGATTATATTTTCACACACTCTATAGATATTAACCTTACACTAGTCAAAAAGTATTTCCCAAATAAAGTTATAATATAATAAAAATTATTTCTCTTTTTCAAAAAAAGGTTTTATCTATTCAAATTTATCTGATCTTTTTATTTTGAAATATGTTAATCACACAACATTTTGAGGTGACATTAACTTGAAAATTTTTTAAAACAAAAAATTACTGGCTACCCATAGATAATTGTTGAAATTGGGTGATGACAATTCTCCTTATTTAGAAGTTTTTCTTGAAGTTTTCCATTACAAGTTTTTAAACTGGAGGGGGGAAAAATCTATAAAATGGTTAATTATAAGAGTGAAATTAATTGTGAGTTATTAACATCTTATTTCAAAATACATTGATTTTTGGCATAAATATCAAAAATATTTAGTGGGAAACTATAAATACCTTTAATAAAACCAAAATTATTGCAGCATATTTTTGCTTCATAGTATATAACAATCATTTATAGCAAATAATCAAAAACTCGTAAGAAACTTGTACTTAAAAACTGCATAAGAACAACACTGTTTCTTTTGCAATATCATTTCCTCTTGTATAAAGCTTTTCTTTCTCTTTTTCTCCCCCCCCCACTCAAGACTGTAGGCTATGTAAAAGGGCACTTAGTTTGTGAAATAATTAAAATAAACATATATTTGTTCTCTATTTTTTTAAAATATATTTTATTGATTTTATACAGAGAGGAAGGGAGAGAGATAGAGAATTAGAAACATCGATGAGAGAGAATCATCGATCAGCTGCCTCTTGCACACCCCCTACTGGGGATATGCCCGCAACCAAGGTACATGCCCTTGACTGGACTCGAACCCGGGACCCTTCAGTCCCCAAGCCGACACTTTATCCATTGAGCCAAACCGGTCCCGGCTTGTTCTCTATTTTTTAAATTACTACATTTAAACCCAAATTTCAAAATAAATTTCAAATTTAAAAAAATCCAACTTTTTAAATGAGGTAAATTGTCTCAAGAACATTTTCTTCATAATCTACTGGCTAGCTATTTTGACAATCTGATTTTTTTCAAGATAGCCAATAATGCTAGCAAATGTTTCCTTTGTCTAGGGATTTATCCATTCAGTGTCTGGATGGTCAACATCTACCCCCTTCTCAATTTTTTCCCTCTCAAAATATATACAAATATAAAGAAAGCCCCATTGATCATGGAGCTCAATCAATGCATTTCATGACTTTAGGCCTAATGTTTTAGATTGCTGAATGCTTTCTTATATAGAATCTATTTTAAGCTCTGAGCATATATTGCTTCTAACTTAAAAAATGTATCAAAGAGAAAGAAATACTTCTTTTCTGATTCTTATAATTGTATTTCCTTTAGCACACTGGAGAAAATAATTATTGGTACTAAACAGATGATAAAGATAATAAACACAAGATGACCCTATCTCTATTTCCTTATAGGCTCAGGGTCCTGCCTGACTCCCATTACCTTCTTCAGCTGCTTCACTCCATATCAACTTTTCACTTAGGTTCACGTAATTTTCTTTGTAGTCTAATTGCTTCCTTTAATGATCCCTATCCTTTTTATTCCAGAAAAAAATAGCACTCTCCCTTACCCACATCTGGACCCTGACAGAGACAACAGTAAGAACACCACCACTGAGAAATACTGAAACGAGAGAATGAAGAGGCTGCACACACTCCTAGAGACCACTAAACATGGGCAAAATGCCTTTTATATACGATTTGGAGATACCCTTTTATGAGCAGTAATTTGGAATAAGTGATAACTTGAACTCATTTCTGACTCTAAAATGGATTCTATTATGATCTATATCCAAGTTGTAATATCTAGGAGGAATAGTGGCTTTTTCTAACAAATTCGATTTAGCTACAGAAAGGGAGAAAGGAAGGAACTATGTATAAACGCATAAACAAATTGAAGGCAAAGAGTGGGTTAACTGGAATAGGGTAGTATCAAAATAACAATAAATACCTCTTTGCTAAACGAGGTAACAAGACTTTCATAACGTGAAATGAGTCTTGCTCGTTCTGAGTAGTTTTCTACTTCCTGCTCTAGTAGAATAAACTTTTCCTTAACAATCATTAAGCAACATATGCTATAAATTAAAAGGCTCAAAAGAAAATAAGTCTCAAATTATAGAAAATCAGCCATGATACATTCATATCTTTCCAACATCATTTGTTTGCAGCAGTTTTAGTGTTGACTTAAAAAAATGCACACATAAAAACAAGAAGCATGAATGTCTTGAGTAAAATCACTAAATGGAAAGTAACTATTAAGCAAAAAAGAAATTACTCCAATAAATGGCAACTTCTAGTTAAAGATGGTATAATAAATGTACCCATTAACTTTGACTTCCGCCCCAAACCTACTGAAATGTAAATAAAAGGCAGGAAGGAATATAAACTCTTAAGAACAAAGAGAATGAAAAAAGGACACAACAGCAATAAAACCTAGAAACTAGACAGTTAATAGTTAAGTGGAAACTGACTGTGAAAGGAAAATTTTCCTCAACCAGCAGAGCGGAAAGCTGAGGAGCCACAGGATTTACACTGCAAAATGCCAAACTGGCCAAAAATTGGCAGCACCAGGTGTTCTGGAAGTAGAGGAGGGGC